TGTTGCTTACATCTGGAATCGTGATACCAAATGATTGGGCTGTGTCGGCGAAATGATTGATGAGACCCATGTAATTAGATGAGACAGCGGCGGAGGCAGAATCGACGCTGCTAGGACGTTGGAGAGTACAATTGAAGGCGTCTAGAGACAAAACCCCAAAGTAGGTTTCGAATACGTATGTAAATTCTGGAAGGAGATATGGATATGTGGAATCATAGTCAATGCTTGCGATGAAAGTAATCAATCTTGTATTGGCAGTGATGAGGGTTTGAAGGGTTGGCCAAGTTGCGATTGGTGCGGTGGTAGAAGTAGGAGTATAGCCGTAAGTATCGATACCGGAAGATGAGAAGACGGATCCGAAAGTAGTGGCTGATTCGTCGTCGGAGTTAACAAGGAGCAGAGTGACAACTTCGTTAGTATTGGCATCCATCCATGTTTTAATTTCCTTAAGAAACGACTCAAGACTACCACCATCAAGGAGTAAACAAGATGTGTGACATAGTTCCAAAGTTCCATTCGAGTTATGAACCTGTGCTTGAAGCAATCTAATACCGGCGGATAGAGCAACAGTAGCATTGTAGAACTGATTCCCTGATGTTGAATACCCGGTCGTCGAGTCTCGAAGGAATGCAACGTCGTGGGCACCCATATGTGTTATGTTGTTATAGTTTCGACTACATAGTTCTGGCGAATTATTACAGGCGGTTGTGCTTGTTGATACTGCTGCTTCGGCGACTGATACGGAACTAGCTGATGTTGCAACTGCAACAGATATCGACGACGATGATGATTCTTGACCTCCATATCCTCCATATCCTCCACCACCATTTTGAGGCATGGCCTGCGAAGAGCTAACCAAAGAAAGAATTGCCGCTGCGGCAAATGCAAATGACCGCATATTTGATGGAGTAAAGGATTTTCAAGAGAATGAGATAAGAATCCTTCGTTTGAAAGAGTAGTAAAGCTATAAAACGTGTTGCTTCTGAAGAAATGTGACAAAGAAAACACCACAAGTGCTCGACAACAGATATATGAGAAAATTCAAACACCCAAAAATAATAAAATCTTGAAAAGAAAGAAAGAGGCTTCAAAAGTATGGAGAACTTTTGATCAAAGTAAATAGATTACCCATATATGAAAACTACGGAATACGTTACGACTCGCCTCGTTCTACTGCGCCTCGTTGCCTCTTTCAATTAATTCTCTTGAGATTGTCGTAAGCCAACAACATTACGAGTCTTGGAAAAGTGGACCTCATCCGTATTTGAGTAAGAATTAGAAAGGAGAACTTCCAATCAATACTTCTAGATCTGCATGAAACGATGGAAAAGTCCCGGTTTGAGGAAGGTATAGGATGTCACACCGGGTGATGCTTGTTCAAGTCAAATCGTTTGTACTGACGTTTGAGGTTGGTGAGAGAGCGAGGATCGTTGCATGTCAAAAAAAAATTGGCTGGAAAGATACGAAAATCTTCCTAGAGCCGTTTCTATTTTTATCCTTAATTGAGGCGTTGAGAAATCAATGCATTGACCCAAAAAAGTGTAATCGGTACAGTCGGCGACGCGGAAGATGACGAGGACAACTGATTAAATTGACCAATGTAAGCTTTTTCTATCACGCAACAATGGAGAATGATCTTCAAGAGTTGCAGCTGGCCCTTGAGCTGGAACCTGCCACCAGCCCACCTGCCAAAGTAATGAAGTGGGTGAAGTTGTTGCAGAAGGCTGAAGATGTTGATCTTATGCCAGCCATATGCAAGTCCTAGCCACCGGGAATACCCCTTTCCCGAAAAGACTTAGTTTGGTGAATGGTAGGTAAGCAGATAGGAAACTATCACCATGGACAAAGATCGATGTGCCAGTATCAAATATTAATAATCTTTTGTCGTGTATCAGACCTTCCAAATGAAAGCTCTACGAGTCTGCCTCGTCCACACATCTTAACCATATCGAAATCTGTAAGAGATTAGAGAATTTCCCATCTTCTCCACTCTATTCCAAGTCTACCGGATTCAAACCAAAGATCAGACCAGGCAATCCACAATTCATCAAACAACATCCGCTCCATGCTTCTCCTCCAGATTTACGAGGTTCGACAGTTTTGTCTTTCGTGGGGTGAGGAGGTGTTATGTCAGATATGTACGAAGTAGCGATTGATCCTGTTTGAAGATTGATTACCTGAAAGCGATATTGAATCTGGATGATTCGAAAATGATTCACTGGCAAGCCGAATGGAGAAATGGATGAAACTCGTGTATGCTCACCCTGGCACAACTTTAGTAGGGACGGCCATGATGTAAGGTTGGGATCATCCACCAACGGCTGTCATTTCAAGTGAAATAAACTTTACCCCCTATCACGTGCGATGTGAACGACGAGATATCTCTTATCATTTAGCTCCACGTTTAGCATATGGTATCCAACTTTGAGGATGCAAATATGACAGTGTTCCTTTCACATACTGCAAGCTCATCTAGCATTTCCTATATCTGTATTGGATTGAAACGGGCCACATTCGATTTGTTATATTACTAATCTTCTCTCTTACATATCGAAGTATCAAAAGCACACCACAGTGTCTAGTCTTGGGCAATCATGTTATTGGAAACATAGTGTTTTGATGTAACGACACTGTTGAGATATGTTGAACCATCTATATAGTTCTCGTGTTTACCGATGCAGTAAATTTCTTCCGGTCCACATGTTTGGCTGTCTGTGAGTGTAGCGCAGCACACAATTCTCATTGAGATCCTACAGCCGGCTTAAAGCAACCAGTACGGTGACGACAATGCTTTTTCGTGTTTCTCATCCACAATTGGTATGCTTCATTGGATTCTCGCGATAGCCATATTACATTTGGCATATGTTTGAGTGCTAACTAGGTCTTTCTGGATTTGTCTTCCTTCTTCATGATCTAAGATTGGCTTGAAATTTGATAGGGAGGATGGAGGTGATGAACTAGACAGAGGAAGGGGTGAGAGGGGGGGTGAGAGGGGGGTAAAAGGAGAGGGAGAAGTTGGGAGGAGAGAACCGAGCAACGGAGAGAGAGGTAGAAAAAGAACGCAGAGATGAATAGCAAAAAGGAGAAAAGAACAGAAATTTACTGCAAAGGTGATGTAATAAAATAATATATGTATAACACTACTCTTCTGTATATCACTTCCCCAGAGCAATTGATCAGCCATTATGTCTTAGACTAAAAGACCCTTCCAAATCTCTACACCCTGTGAGGAAATATTCCAACCTACGCACTAAATACATCTTCGAGTGAAAGGTCTGCAATACCAATTCCCAATTTACACACATAAGTCTATATACATAAAAGAAGAAAGTCAAACAAAAACTCAACCATCCCATCTGTTGATCCTTCAAGATTCAAGCTTGAAGGAATAGCGGGGTCGTCGCTTTAAAAGATAAATAACATACCCCGCATCACGTGCCAACTGCTCATCTCTCACTCCGAATTCAAATTCCCAACATCGTCCATCAACACTCCGTCCACTATCGCCTTCAAAAACAAAGGTTCACAACCATCTCCAAAACTCCGAATATCCCTAACATCCCAGATTCAGTATCGAACCCCAGCTTCTCCTTCCGCCAACCTAAAATACAAAAATAACAATGGCCTCTTCGTCTTCCGAAAGTGGCGCGATCGATTATGCGAATCTTCCTACACCTCCCAGAGCCGTTGCGGATTTTTGTTTGATTCCCGTATTCATCCCCCTTAATCCCTTTCTCTCTTAATCCTCTCTCGTTTTCCCCTGCGGTCAAGCTAACAGACCATAGATCGGTACACCCACAGCTTCGGTGTCGAAAGAAGTAGCTGCTGTTCAGCGATTGATGAAGGCTAGTGGGTTGAGTTATAGCATGCATTCTGCTGGTACTACTGTTGGTGTGTATTCTCTTCCATTGTATTCTTGTATTTTGAAAAAAATTCGCGAGTTTTACAGGGCGATAGTTTCGAGGTGATGGTTTGACGATGCGGGAGCCATCGCGATTGGAAGGGATGCTGTGAAAGATTTCGGGAAATGAAGCTTTATGGTAATGGAAATCTTGCAAGCGCAAGTCCAGATGCAAGCTCGAGTGAGATTATACTACACAGAGATGCATCACAGTAGAAGAAATCACACTTCCGGCTCACAAACAATCATATAAGATACTGACAACCTACCCTTCATATAGAAGGTACCTGGGACGAAGTAATGCGCCTGATAGGTCAAGCCCACACGCTCGTCCACCAAAACGGTGTTTTGCGTGTCCAGACTGATATTAGAGCTGGTACGCGGACAGATAAGGAACAGCATTTTGCTGAGAAGGTTACGAAGGTTGAGAGTTTGCTTGCTGGAGAGGAAGATGGTGGAAGATAGAGAGGGGAAAGGGGGCGGATGGAGAGGTTGAAGAATGAGTGATAAGCGAAGAGATTTGGGAGTTGCAAAGTTGAGAATACCTGAATAGCGTTGAGGAGACGAAGACAAGCCTATGCGAATACCTGGGAATGAATGAAGAATTGAAGTATGCTTGGTTCGTAGATGCTACAGGTTGGGGCAACAGGGGAAGGTCAAGTAACGTGATGAAATTTCATCATGTGTGTGAAAATGATCAAGCGATTAAAATGCACGTGTTTAATCAAGGGTGTATCAATCTAGGTGTCTTTCGAGTCTTTGGTCTGACAGATTAGGAAGACCCTCGACCTTTAAGATTGAAGGTGTATATAAAATTGTGCTTGCTAGGTCTTTAAACAAAAAATATGGTATCTATAACACGAGAAACATCGCCTGGTACTTTCTGCTCGACTTAGGATATCGCATTGTCCCTGTCATTATATTGAGTACCCAAGTAGTGTTTTTTGGCACAGGAGCATGACCGGGCTGATGGTAATCATTCGGATTATATCAAACATCCAAAAGAGATTGTTTAAAATATACTGAGAAATATGATGACTATATTCTGTGGTCGCTGTTGACATCCAGAATATTGCACCGTCTTCGTTATCCATCGTCCTCATTTAGCCTTCACCGCACCAATCGTGGTTTGAATAGAATTAATTTTCGTCTCCAGAAACTCCGCTTTCTTCGCCTCATTCAACCAAGGTATCTCGATTTTCCCCACACAATCTCGGATCAAATCAACCAAAGCCTTAGAATTTGGTGCGTCGTCCAGAATCCCAAGGAATGAAACTCTTGGTAGACCGAGTGCCGCTGCTATTCGAGTTTCGGATCCTTTAGGTAGTTGTACTAATCTTGTGGATGGTTTGGTAGAGTATGATTTTGAGGCTGTGTTAAGGAGTTGGGGGAGATGGGAGTTGAAAATTGGGTGTTGATTGGAGCGGGCGACGAATATGGCTGAGAAATGAGTATGGGGTGGGCTTTGAGTACCCGAGTCGACTTCGTTAGATTGGGGCCGAGTTTCTAGTCCAGTGTCGAGACTTTCTTTGATCTCAACGCCTCTTTTAGATGATTCTTCTAGCATTCGATGGATACTATTAAGGCCTGTGACGATATAAGATGATATTTCAGGCGATGAAGGGGTTTCTGAGGGCCTCTCATTTTCTGACTTCAGGTCTCTTCTCTTGCGCTTCTTGCTCCGCTTTCCTTTAGATGGAGTGATATGATTGGAGCGATATGCTCCAATGGGGGACAGTAAACTACAGAAATGATTAGCCTTGTAATCACTATTAGCTTGGCATTGCTTTCGAAGAATTCTTTGGATAGATACTGCAGAACTCTGTGCATTCATGCCCTGACTGGGCAATTTCAAGAAGAAGAGTGACGTCAAGAAAAATCTCCTTGTAGCACAAATCAATGACTGAAAGAGAATTTCAAGTTCTTGTGCATTGGATTATTTACACACCTGCATAGAAGTTCCACAATGGTTTCTTGATCTTTAAAAGATACTTGTGGCCTAAATTTTCAGATTAATATTGCTCCATCACAAACATGTGCATAGCATATAGCATATAGCATATAGCATTGAATGTTTATTACTAACCAATTAGCTAATGTAAATGGAGTATCCAACTCATAGATGGTTTTACTTTTTCTATACTCCATTTTTTCTTTCTCTTTTTCGCCGTTCTGAAGGGTGAATGTGCTAGATGGAGATGGATTGTGAAGATGGAAATTCTCTATGGGACTATTCAGTTTGATTGATCTCAACTCATTTCATCATGTGATGCATGTATGTTTGTATCGTGATGCCGATTGAGATTTGTAGTGTAGTATGTAAATGATCAATATGTGATGCAGATGTTCAAAACCCTATGGAGTATTTGATGCATCGGTAGAGCAGATAAAACAAACGTGCTAGCTTCCACTAAACACAATCGGGCTTAGCAGCTGCACAGAATTCTGCTTCTCTAGTGATGCACACATGCCTCAGGTTTCCATTTCTCTGTTTGGCGCGTGAACTTTGTCACCTTGAACTCTCAAAGCCTTGCCACTTTTACATTTTGCTTCCAGGCAGCCTCAGCCGATGTGATTTTCATGGGGGACTTGAGAGCAAAACTCCTTGCCGCTTTCACACCCACGTCAAGAGTTATGGTGGGGCGACGAAGCTCTATGACACTTATTCCTACCTAGTGGTGAACTTTTGATAAGAGTTATGACTAGGTGCTAGGTAAATCATCATCATCCAAAACCCTTCTATCATAATCATTCCAAAAATTAATTCACACCAAAAAACTTCTAATATTTCAATTCCAGCCGCCTTCTCTTTTCTCCATATTGCAAAAGGATGTTGATTTTGCTTTGAATAAGGAACAGAAGACAGGTCTCCTTTGATACTTATTCACTTCACTTCACCACAATACAATACATCGAGTTACCTTACTTTTTACCTTACCTTACCTTACCTTAGTTCCAGGTACTGTTCCAATCCGATTTCGTTGATTGCAACTACGTAACTACCTACCTCTCTCTCTTACTTCTCCTCCCACCACACATACACTCACTACACACACACAACAATCTTTTTTCCTTCTACTTACCACCCTCCCCCCCAACAGATTTCTATCGGGAAAACTTTAATAAATGGTAGCTTTCGATACTACATCTTAATCGCATAATCAATCTACTTCAACCTCTTAATTCTTGTCCTACGAATCTACCCCTCTCATTCCGTCATACGGCTGTACCCAAACGGTCAATTCTTCAATCTCATCTCAAAATTCACCAGCCTCAACCTCGTGCGGGGAATATCAATTCAATAAATTACAATCACACATGCGATTTTCTTAGAGGTTCGTTGTGTGAATTTGAACGAAAGGTTTCTTGCCGCTACAGCTTCTGCTGTCCTCGACAGCTTCTATCCCCTTCATTCAATTTCTCAACCTTACCAAATGGACCAAGATTCAGTAGAGTCGTCGCCAGAACGTGCGGTCTCATCAGAGCCTTGTTCGACACACCCACTTCCATTTGATGATAGCGAACAACATTCTGCAAGAAAGCGACAAAAGACTTCCAGAAGTGGCTCGAGAAGTAGGTCGGTCGATACAACTAAAGCTTTAGATATTCTACCCGATTCGATGTCTTCACATAAAGATAATATAGATGACCACCATCATCCTCTCCCACCAAGCACTCCAACGCGTCCTACCACAGCGCATTCTCAAGCGGGCCCAACATCCAGTCAAGTTACAATTAATCTGCGAACTCCTCAACATCGGTTAGAATCGCCTTCCCCCAACTCGCCTTCTCCTATGGGTCAATCAAATATACAAAATACAATGGAAGACGAAGGTACCAGAATAAGTATCGAATCCGAAAGTGATGTTCTATCAACCGTGCCAGCTTCAGTTATTGAAACCCCCTCTTCCTCTCCTTCCGCGGCGGGAGGAAGTCCAGAGGTTGAACTCGTTCCCATCAGTTCCGATGAACCTGAGAGAAGTCCAACCCTTGCTATCATCAATGAGGAGGAAGTATTTCCCGATCCTCTAAATCACTTCCCTTACCAACGTCGCGGAGAAAATCTACTCATGGCACTTAGAAGGGTTACAAACATTTTGCAGTATGGTAAGGAATTCTGCACAACTGAAAGAAGTAGAATATATCTAACATGGAGTCTAGAGCCTATTGACACTGAGGATATATTTATTCGACTTCGAAACTGGATAGATGATTTCTTGCGCTCCGCCAATTCAGATAGTCGCTTGCATGGCGCATTCACTAGATATAGAGACTTTTGGTTTGCCTTCTCGGATTTGATACTTGCATTGCATTTTCGAAGGTTAGTAGTACTTGCAAATACAGAGGTCGCTCCAAGCTAACTTGTGATAGTGTTCGTTTTGGACCTTTCATGTACAGAGTAAATGCACAATCCAAATCTCTAACCCAATTCCTGTACCGATACGCCAAACTCACAGGGAGATTCCTCGCAATGGACGTCAGAACCTTAACATATGATGCAGATCAAACGTCGGAGCTCGTATCACCACAATTTCTTCGCACTTATGCTCAACTACAGAAGATCGATACAGAGTTAACTCACATCGGAAGAAGTATGGAAACATGTTTCAATTGGAAGTGGGACGAAGATACTGCTGAGTTTCAAGCTTACTTCGAGGAGGGTGGCGGATCCATGATTCTCCTGACCAGATACGTCGAAGGCCAGCTGCGGCTTATTCCAAATTATCCAAGACTATTTGAGAATTTGACAGATCCGACAAGATTGGTGGAGAGAATGAATACTGTTGCTTCAGCTGTGACTAAGAGACAGGCCGCACCTGATGTCCATGACGACGCTATGCGAAAGTTGGCCATTGGATACGAATATTTTAATATCATGTCGTCAGGATTGGATTCTATCATCGAGAAAAATGTTACTTTTCTGACTCCTGACGCTGCAACTACACATCTAAGTTGTCTCTCGTATATCTTATGGACTGCAGCATACGCCATCCCTCAAATAGCGAGTGCTCGATTTGAAAGTCAGAAAATGATTAGTCCCGAAATTTCAGACACACACCTCTCTAAGGTCGTTGCTGTCGACTGGAAGGTTTCCGTCCTTCAAAAGCTCATAACATCAAGTCAGATGCAACTTCGGGTGATCGGTGTAACAACTCTCTGTTTGGACCTCGTGGGTCTCTTTAGTGCTCATCGACCAAAAGAAGGAAAAGAAGAGACCTCCAGCAATATCGCAATTCTATCCTACTTTGCAAAGTTCTTATTGCAACATAAGCTAATCGACTACATTGTTGGTATTGGGTCTCACCCCGAAATCATTAATGAAAGTCACAATATTGTTGGCTTTTTAGTAGTAACAAAAACCTACCAAGATGAGCATACCGATACTATCTGGCAAACTGTTACGACGAGCCAGGACCCAAGGGTTGTGGAAGCCATTCTAAAAATGGTTAAGAAAATTTTCCATCTATACGACTTTCCACAATGCCTATATATCTGTCAGAAAGTTGCTGCCCTCCCAATACAGGCGTTCACCGTTGCAATGAGAGATTTTTGCGAAAGCCTGTTCAGGGAACTTGCACACAAGTTGGGCCCTAGGGACCTCGACATTTCTCCCTATGAAATTTGCGTCCGTCTGATTCGTGAGTCTTCGATCACTAGCGATGATTGCCCAAACGGCTATCCTGAAATTCAGAACTTTGCAGCAAACAACCTGCGTGAATTGCTAGTTCACGGACCCGGTCCAGAGGCACGTAATGGTATCTACTTGAGCTGTATCAGAGACATCTCAGAACAATCGGCCACCGCTCCTGGAAGTATATGCGTCATCAGTGCATTACTTCATCAAAGTTTGATGCCAGATCTTCAAGTATTGACCACTCAGCATGGTCTCACAAGATTGATGGTTGCTGAACTTGAATCTAATATAGCCGGGCATCGCTCTCTTGCTTATGACAGTCCTACCAATATTGCTCGTCGCGAGATCATACTACAAATCATTTTGATGGATCCCGACACTATCAGCGCCGAGTTGGGCACACGACTTTGGAACCTGTTAGTGGGATCTCAGTCAAATGACGCCGCCGATCGTCTAGCAGGCTGGCAAATACTGAACAAGGCTCTCCAGAAAGCAAAATTTTCCAATAGATACCTTGCCATTTGTTTCCAGAGCTATCTGCCAAAACTGGAACCAGCGTACTTCTCGGATGGTACTTTGCTCTTCGTGAAGAATGGAGTTTATTTCTGGCTAGACGAAAAAGACAAGGAGTCTCAAGAAGATGAGGATATCAAGCTAAACCTATCGTTCGATTCTTTTGCCATAGAGCAGTTGTGGCGTATAATCGAGAGCGCACCTCAAGGAACAGTCTATGAAATGGCCATCCAAGAGCTTGTCAGTGTTTATGTGGGTCCCTTCGTCCGAAGTCTACCTCTGATCAAAGCACGGGAATTGCATTTAGCATTTCTGACACGATGCTTGAATAAACTAGCAAATGCTGCACGTCAATTAAAGACTTCTAGTACAGGTGAAGCCAGTGGAGATGATGAAGATATAGTCATGGTAACTCCGGAATCTCAAATCAAAGAACAGGAATTACTTTTCACTCGATCACTTGCAGCTTTGCGGACATTTCTCACGGCTTATTCCAGCACCGCACACTTTGCCACTCCAAAGTTGCGTTCTGCTATCAAGATACCATCAGTTACCGCACATGGCACTTCACTCACAATCTTTTATCAAGCATTTGATGAGACTACATCGTCTATTAAGAAACTCACTATAGGCGCGGATGAAGATGCTGCTACATTAGTTGCAAAGTTGCAAAAGGAAACCGATTTCACATCTTGCAGAGTGTTTTACGGTGGAAAGGAGCTCAAACATGAGGAAGCCGAATTATGTAAGTCTGTGCAAGAACTCAATCTAAATGGCCTTGTTCTTGTCAAGCGCCGTGATGAGACAGATCCTATATTACCGAGCAACAAAGGTCCTTTGGAATTGGAGATTACAAGGAAGTTTGATCAAATCTGGAGTTATCTTGGTATGCAAGAAAACTTGGCGGAGCAGGTACGTGTTAATACAGATTTTACGAGCTGTTGTAGTTACTAACCTTGCTTTCAGATATACTCATTCCTCATTCAGTTTCCTGTCTATG